AGCCATTGGGATTTCCTCGGTTGGAACCCAATTCACCAAGACTGAAACAGTTGTTGAAGTGATGCACTTTGAAATCCACCCTATCCATCTAGAACCAAAGCCCATTTCCTTCATAATTCTGAACAAAATAGGTCAGTCAAGAGTATCATATGCCTTCTTGAAATCAGCTTTAAAAACACATCCTTTTAAACCATTCTTCTTCCAAAAGTCAATCCCTTCATTGGCTATAAGGGAACAATCCAAGATTTGTCGACCGGGAATAAAAGTGAATTGACATGGACTGATCAAATCTGAAATGCAGCTCCTAAGTCTCCTTGACAGACATTTAGAGATGATCTTGTACAAACCACCAACTAAGCTAATAGGTCTAAAATCGTCCAAACCACCAATGTTTGAAATTTTTGGAATAAGACTGATGAAAGTGTGATTTATTCCATGTTCCCATTCCTTCCCCAAGTAAATATTCTTAAAGAAGATCATAATATCTTCCTTAAGGACCTGCCAAAACCTCTTGAAAAAACCCATTTTAAAGCCATCAGGACCCGAAGCTTTGTTACTTCCACAAGACTTCACAACCTCCCAAACTTCCTCCTCTGAAAATTCCTGCTCTAAGAACTGATTCTGCTTTAAAGAAATTCTGGAAAAATCCATATTTAATTCATCAATTTCTAGAGTAGATTGGTCATTGTAGATCTTAAAAAAATAATCCTTAACAATTGCCTTAATTGCAATTGGGTCTTCAACTGTTTCTCCTCTAAAATTAAATGCCACCAGAGCATTTCTCTTCTTCCTAACCGTAGCACAGGTATGGAAGTATTTAGTGTTGCGATCCCCGTCTTCAATCCATTTAGATCTCGAATACTGAAACCAAATCTGCTCTTGGATCTTGTGCAGCTTCCACAATTCTACTCTACAATTATTCAACTCAGTTAATACCTCACTATCGACAGCACCCTGCTTTTGTTGAATATCAGCCTCTATCTTCGAAATTTTCTTCTCTAACTCAGAAATCAAGTCTCTTGGATACTTATCTCTGTTTCCAGACCACTTCTTTATTGCATGTTTGGCATTCCTTAAAAGACTAAAAGCACCTGCCTTCTTCTGACTTTTCTTAGAACTCTGAATAGAAGAAATAACCATATCCTCAAAACCCTCCTCATCCATCAAATAGTTGAACATTCTAAACGGTTTTGACCCCAGTCCACTCCTTTATTCACAAGAATTATGGCATTGTGATCTGACAATGATCTTGGTAGAAGAGACTGCAAAATGTCCGGAAATAACGCTAGAAATTGACTGTCAACCAAAAAACGATCCAATCTTACAAAAGTGGGATTCTCTTGGTTATTACACCAAGTGAACCTTCCCCCATTCATAGGAAGATCAATTAGGCCCGTATGAAGAATGAACTCATTAAAGATCTCCATTGAGCTCCTACTTTGACCTCTGCCCATCTTCTCATCTTCTTGTAAATAGACATTGAAGTCCCCTCCCACACAAACGGGAAAATTCTGTCCACTAAGAAAACTGCTTAATTCTTCAAAAAAAACAGCTTTCTCTTCCTCCATTGCTGGACCATATACATTGATGAAACCACAACTAAAGTTTTTATTCCGAAATTTACCAAAAGTAGCTATAAATCTCCTACTAATAAACTGACTCTCCAACTCAAAGATATTGTCATCCCAACAACACAACAAGCCCCCCGCTGATCCAACTGAAGGAGATTCCAAAACTCCTTTAAGCTTATTAATCCCACTTCTCCTAAAGAAAGACCTCTTAAATTTTTCAGTCTTGATTTCTTGCAACCAAAGGAAAGTAGGATTTAAGCTAGTGACTAAATTCTGAACAGCCCTCTTTTTTTTCATTTTTCCCCAAACCCCTAACATTCCATGAACATATTACTAACTTTGACATCTTCATAAAGGGAAAAAGGTACAAACAAAACCCTCAATCAACCAAACCTTGATTAATCCCAATCAAGCCTTTCTCTAGAGCTATGATTTTTTCCAAAAATGCTTCTTTCCCTTCCTTAAAAGATACTCCCAAAGCTTACTAACCTCCCAAGTTTCTACAGCTTCTTTCAATAAACTCGAGAAAGCTGAGGAGGATGCTGTATCAATGCTCACCTGGTCAAGGACCTCTCGAAACAGGATCCTTCTAGCTCTCATCTTCCTTCTAATTAACAAACCAGATTTGGGTCTTAAGCATTCACCTTCAGAAAAGTAACATTCAATCTCCCTCTACGGTCCCATCCCCAAGACCATTATCAAAGCTAGGAAGAAGACTCCCATCAGCAATGAGCTCTGCTGATAAACAAAGTTGTTTTGCAGTATTGGAATCCACATCCAACTTCCTCTGCCCAACCTTGGTGCCATCTATTTCATTCATGAAGTTCAAAAAATCTCCATACCAATATCTTCTTTCCCTCGACCTGCTATAGACCCTTTTGCAATTGCTCAAACTTCTAGTTTCCAATACCTCACTCTCAGATGAGACCTTTCTTCTAGAACGGTGTAACTGTCTCCCTCTTGAGATGTTTCCTAAATTAGTTGTAACTGGTTCAACCAACCTTAAGCTTTCTTCTTCAGCCTCTATTTCTGCATTAACCAACTTCTCTGTAATTGGGCTCGTCTCCAATTCTCTAAACGTTTTCCTATTTTTTCCTGCTAAATTAAGGTTCTCCACAAAATCCCCAAACTTATTAACTGTATATGCTGGCCCAGAAAAGAAACCCGGAAAATCTTTTGACCCAGACTGCCCAGAGTCTTCAGAATGGGCCTGAGATCCATCAACCGAATAATGTTGACTTCTAATCCCCAAACCTGCAAACTCACCAACTTTTAAGCTCCCAACCTTTTGACTTTCTGGCAGACTACAATTAATACCTTTCCTATCTAAGGAAAGCCTTGCTAGCTGTCTGTTCTCACTAACTCCTCCAGAACCACTGAACACACCCTGATCAATCCAATTGTCCACTGACAGACGATTTTTCTTGTTGCACATGCCTCACCTTCCCCATGATCTGACAACAACCTGTCTACATCCTCCTCAGACATAATTTCTTCAGAAAAGGCCTCACCGGAATCCTCCACCGGAAAATTACTGAAAAACAAACTTGAATACTCACTTGCTGATCCAATCTTGATACTTACTTTGAATGATCTTCCTTAAGATCCAAGAGTGATCACCTCTGGAACATCAAAGGGGCTTTCCACCCTCAATAAAATTCTTGCCATTGTAAGGTCTTCTCTTTTCCTTGTACTCTCATGAATACCTACCACTTTGCCCCATCTACCAGCCATCTTCTCGAAGAAATATTCATTCCAGCATAATAAAGGAACCCCTATTAATTCTTCCATGCAGAAGGTCGTGGGAACTCCGGCCTCATTCAGTAAATGTTCCACTCGTTCAAACCACTGTTTTAAAACCTCTTCCTTTTTGCTCCATAAATCCAGCATCTCCTCATGGGAATTAAGAACTAAAACGCAAGAGTTCCAAACATAACCCCATCTAGCAATTTGAACATCATAGCCTTCCTTAAATAAGGCATTCCGAATGAACTCAACTTGAAACGAGTATTTGATAATCCCTGTTAACGACCTCTTTACCCAATTGGCACTTTCTGATGGAATATGCATCTCCATAATATTTTTCTTGACATTCCTCCTTTGGATATCCTCAGACAATAGTTCTTTGTACCCCCTTGTATTCCCATTTGACATCAGAGCACCCCTATAAGTTCTGTCGTCCCTTCTACTTCTGATAATATTTTCTCTTTCTCTTGATTTTGAAGAATCTGCATTAATATGACCAGAAGCCTCGTTTGAAGAAGTATGCACCACCCTTGACCTTGAACGTTCATCCTTAAATCTGGCAGGACTAACTAAGATCTTTCTTCCATCAATCACAACCCCGTTTAACTCATCAACAGCCTCCTTAAATCTTCCTCCCTCTTAAAATGAACAAAAGCAAAGGTGGAAAATCTGTACTTTGGATTTCTAATTTGATTGGGAATGAAAACTCTCATAACCAGACCATGGACTAAGAATAATTCCCTAAGCGTATGACAAGAAACCCTCCTACTCAGGTTGTCGATAAACGCCGACCAACACTCATCGGGAACTGACTTTTCTTTAAAATTCTCTCTCATTTTACCTCCTGTTTCACAATTGGTTGGTTCGGGTCCACCTATTTTGATGGAGTTAAAGGCTATTCAGAAGGGTTTACTTTTCTTTAATTCAGTGAGAGGAGTTGTTAATGGTCAGTTGATATTAGAATCAGACTGTAAATTGGCAGTTGATTGGATTAGGAATGGAACTTTGTGTCCTCATTTTTTTGTCTTCATTGTCAGGGATATAGCTGTTAAGCTCAAAGATGTTGAGGGTGTTATTAGATGGGTCTCTAGGACAGCCAATATGGAGGCTGATGGGTTGGCTAAATCTGCCATTAGATAATTTCAGTGTGTTTTAGGGATATTTTATTTTGGGTTTTTAGGAGTTTTTGTAAGGGACTTATCTTCATGTTGTAATCTTATGTATTTCATTAATGTAGTATAAGACACTCTTTTCCTCCTTCCTCTGATGATGAGTTCCTTAATCAAGAAGGGGTTTTTTAATGAGGCATTCAATTCCTATAAAAAAAGATTTTAGAATTGCAAGTTAGTTATTGGGGTGTCTAGTGACCTATTCTGTTTATTTTTGTTTCCTGTTTATTTACATTTTAAAGATACAGTATCACGACATAGTAATTTTATATGATGTGTTTCTCTAGATACTATTCTCTATTAAACCTCTCAAACTTTTAGTGATCACTTGGGAAGTTCCTTCAGTTGTTTGTGGTGAAGAGGGCCTTGGCTATTATCTTTTGCATAGATGCAAATCTTTCTTAAATTTGTGCTTCCTTTATTTTCATTTTATTTAGGAGCCTTTTCCCATACAAATTTTAAAATTTGTTATCTTAAAAATAAATCAAAATATTAATGAGAGTACACGATACAGGTGGTAATATTTTTTAGCGCGCATGGGGTGCCACTTGCATATGTAGAAGAGGCAGGTGATCCTTACAAGGCAGAGACGGAAGAATGTGTGGACTTGATAATGGGGGAATTAGAGAAGAGGAAGATCATAAATGCAAACACTCTTGCTTATCAGGTACGTCTTGTTGGCATATTACTCCTTACTAATCTATTTCACTTCTTAATTTCCAAGTTATGCGTTCTCGATCCGTGCTAAGTCTGGATCTGGAATTATGTGGATGGGTAGTAGAATCTTGAATTAAGTAAAGTCTCGATATAAATGCTTACAGCAATTCAAATTTTCTCTTCAGAAGATGCCTATGCTGTTAGGATAATGCTGAGATTAAATATAATTTTCGGATATAACTGAATACAATGGGTAAACCGTATTTAAACTTGAAGTAAATTAAAGTTGCCTTAGGGTTCTTTATCAGCTTAGGGCTGTTTGGGTTACATTTCTTGTAACACTTTCAACTCGTATCCAACCCGTATACGAGTCTGAGGTGTCACATTGACTTTTCAAACTTTGACTCTTGACAAAAAATCAAGGAAAATTTAAAACCTTCATTAACATAAAAGCGGTTTATTTACATAAAATAACCAAAACAACCAAAATCGATCAGAGCATTTATAACTGACACTTTACTTACATGCCAACATACTATACACGGCAAAATACATACTTTATCAGTTACTTCTGATCTGAACTTCTGGCAGTGATGCTGTTATTGCCACTCCTATTTTGGTTCTGCTCGATTCTTGGTACCTACATGTAAATCACTTGCACGCTAAGTCATAGACTTAGTGAGACATAACATAAATATATGTATACGCATGTATAACAATGAATTTATGAACATGCATCCTTACCATTGATCATGTCATCTTAACTTGCATATATTTATTATACTATAACATATATGATGATAGTATGCACATATAAGACATATTTTTATGCTAATTTCGCTTTAATTTATCTTTGGATTGCCCATTACATTATTGAGAACAAAGGTATGTGAGTACATAGAGGTTGTGCACTATGCTATCACCACAGCTCGTATAATTCCCTCAAAGGGCACTGAATATTTGTCCCGAATGACCACTCCTTAAGAACCATATACATAATACAATGAACCAAATAAGTGTACCAAAGTACCACATATATATTCCACAGAATTACATATATGTCCCGAAGGACCACATAGAACCCTCGATTCTTGGCATGCCAATTATACCTACAACTCTCATATTAACTCACATTGGCTTAAATATGAATACATTTCTCATTTTCATATCTTCTCATCACTTTTCATGTAAACGTGTATTTCACTTCATATACACACATGTGATCACTTTCATTATTTCACATACCTGGATTGATCCTTTGACAATTTCATTCTTTCATATAATATCATAGTAAAGCATAAATGAACTATACATGAAATCACTGTATCCAATATATATGTGGATGCATGTACATGAATATGGAATCATGAATTCAACTATAAGAGATAGACTTATCGCAAGTCTTATCTCCACACAATTCTATCCAGTATGGGCACTCACCTTAGCCTTGCTTTGACTCAATTCTAATCTCTCGATTGTTCCGGAACGAGATTACATTCTAAATCTACATAGTAATACATTGATACATATCAGTATACTAATTGATATATTCTAAACTATCACTCTTTAGGCTAAAAAGAAAGCTATTATTATCTTTTAATGAAGGTATGCATCGATGCACTACACCTTGTATCGATGCATCCCTTGACGGGTGCATCGATGCACTATCTATGCATCGGTGCATAAATCCCATTCAAAGTTTGTATTTTAAGTAGGTGCATTGATGCACTCCTCATGCATCGATGCACTAATTGCATTAGATACAAAATTTGTATTTTAAGCCCGAAAATCATCAATTCTTCACTAAATTCTTCTATTTAAACCCCTATCATGTCATTAAACTCAACCATCATTACTTAAACCAACTTATATCCATGAAAATCATCTTTAACCTCAAAATCCTATTCCTCATATCTAATTCAAGAATCATACTCAAATTTCAATATGTTCTAAATACAATTCTAACACTTCATATTCCTTAATTAGCATGATGACAAGTCAAATTTATCTTCAAATTCAACTTATCAACTCTTTTCCATAAATTCATTTAAAAACCCATTTTCTTTAATCTCTTATAACTTCTTCATCTTGTTACTTTAAAACAAATTAAATTTTCCATAAGCTTAATTAGCATCTAAGGATCAAAACCAGACTTAAATTTCAGCAAACCATTAGCTTTTAAAAGATCTCACCTTTGTTTTGCCTTCTTCACATGTGGAGAAATAAGAGAAGAAGAGAACTCTGGAACATTGTTTTTCTTTCTTCTCTTCCACGTGGAGTTAATATAAATATCTCTTTAATTCTTTTCCATGTAAATGACTATTCTACCCTTCCATTCCTTCTTCCTTGCAATTTAACCCTATACCAAATTACAATACTATTCCATTATTATGCTTTAGTCACCAAATTCTGAAGTTTTACAATTTAGTCACTAACCCGGTATTGAGGCTGTTACATTTCTACTTTATGAATATAATTTTTTTGAAACATGAGCCACTGAGACTTGTTCCAGCAGTTGTTATTTCTCTTTAGAAGGGTTTGTCTTAGATTCATATCTCTACTCCCCTTTAGACTTCCTCTCTATGTTTAAAAAAACGACAGAAATTTGTTTGCTGAATTATGGTCTATTTATAGGTTGTTTTGAGAAGTCATTCGTGTATTGTTGTAGTAGTTACCTTTTTTAGTGGTCCATGTTGGGCTTGGATGAATTTTATAGTGAAGCAGGTCAGGTTGGGACTCAGATTTTTTTTGATGCAACTTAAAATATTTTTTTTTTATAGAAATTGAAGGCCTCATTAAAAACCTCCTTCTTGATTAGAGAGACTTAAAGAGAAGCTCCTTAATCAGCGGAAGGAGGAAAAGAGTGCCTTAGGATTTCATTGAACATAAGAACACCAAAATACATCCAGATATCGACCCCGTACATAAAACAAAACACCAAAAAACACCCCCATAGCAGCAACAGTAGCTCAACCTAATATCAACCACAACAGCCTCTAAAGGACTAACCCAACTAAAAGCCTAACTCTTGACTCGGAGAGCACCAGAAAACAGAACTCCTAAAAAAGAGAAAAAATGACAGCTGGCTCAAACCATAGTATCCAAAAAAAACACAAACATCCAGGAGCTTTCATCCACACGAAGAGGGCAGAAAACCAAACTATAGACTCTGGCTCCAAAGCTGGAAAAATGGAATCATAATCTGGCTCCCAGAACAGACAAATCTCCCTCACATTGAACCTTCTATTGCTGCTTGATTTGGCTATATCAGGCCATTAATTGGGGACCCGAAACTTTCTCTACAAACCCCGATATATCTCTGCCATCCAGCCTATCAACCACCTCCCCAACCTGTTGGGCATCCCCATCCTGGTGGGCCTCCACACCCTTGGAACTACTAATAGCACGCCTCTTGATAATGTTAATCACGTTCTTCATCACCTTTCCCTTTAACCGATCATCTAAGTTGCATGAATCAAAAAAATCCAATATTCTCTCTCTATCACGTGTAGACATACAACTTTCACTGCTTTCAAAAACTGACTCTCTAGCCCCTTGATCCAGCACATTCTCGTGCTCCACCACATCCTCGAATTACGATGGAATAATCCCCAAACCAGCAGCATAATTCCTTAAGCCCATAATAAAATCCTCCCCTATGTTCCTTTCCACTACTTCCCCACCCGACAAGAAGCAGTCACTAACTCTTTCCCCCATACAACATAATAGACTTTCTTCATCCACAGAACAACGCTCAGAAATCTTCTCCACCGAAAAGTCCTCGTTTCTGCCAGCTCCCTCAAGACATACCTCCACCACGGGAGAATTAACTGGCGAGACACCGACGAGCTCCCCCACCAAAGATAACGGGGAGGCAACTGCCTCATCCATCAAGAACGAGTCTGCCCAGACCGAATCGGGACTGAAACAAAGCTCAAACTCAGAAATACAAACTGTAAATAACAAGTCCCCGGCTTTCAAAACAACGGATTCTTCCACACGTGTTTGACGGTTTGTAATAATTTGAAACAAAGCCCTTTCAAAAGAACCTGGATTCACAAATCCTTCGTCAATGGAGATAAGTTCTCCCCATTTGTCTGCAATTCTTCTGAAGGTGGAGGGATTCCACAAAAACGGTGGGATCCCTTTGCACGAAAGCTACGCCCGACGACTGCTGCAATGAAAGTTTTCCGACCACACTTCTACTTTGCCAAAACATTTATTCAATGCCCCCATCTGATTATTCAGCGTGAAATCCCTACTCTCATCATCTTCAAAAATGATTAGAACTGCTAACCCGCTTAGCCTCATGATTTTCGGGCCTAAAATGCCTTCCTTATGCATTATGGCAGCCAGCTCATTCATCTTAAAAAAATTTCTGCACCACCCTACCAAGCTGCCTCTACAAGATAGCAGCTTGTCCTCGTCAACAGAACCCACAATGGGAGCCTCTAAATGCCCAACATCCTCCCTTTTACTCTTGATCTCGGCTGGTTTTAAACCCGAAAACTTCTTTCTCCAAAAACTTCCCGGGGTAGAAATCTGGCCAAAAAAAACTCTAACTTCATTACGCGAATCCTAGATCTGTCAACACAGTTGATAGCCTTCCTTGCGTCCTCCAATCTGGTAAAACGAACAAAGCCAAACCTACTTCCTCCCTTGCTTCTTTTGTTAGGGATGAAAGAATCAACCACCTCTCCATGTTTATCGAATAACAGCCAAAGCCCTTTATGATGAAGACGCTCTGGAATGTTGAAAATGATCACCGTAAAACAAATTTTCCCAGCAGAACTAGTCACCTTACTTGCCATCATAAGACAAAAAGAGAGATCAAAGAAAGAGCTGTAAAAAAAACGCCTAAAATTAAAATATTTATTTTCCATAGATATAAATAAGGATAGGTTGGAGTTTTGATAGTGAAGGGTTTTTCCTATGATTCGTGTGTTCCTACATGATTTTACTTGTTAACATATCTTGCAAAAGCTCTCTATTGATAGTACCTTCTTTTGTGAATGGTTGGTTAATGTTCCTGCAGAGCAGAGTTGGGCCTGTGGAATGGTTGAAGCCCTACACTGATGAGACAATAATTGACCTAGGGCGAAAAGGAGTTAAAAGTCTTCTGGCCGTACCAATTAGGTATTATAGTTGTCATGATGATATCGTGATGGGTAATGAAATCAAATAGCTCCTAGTTAAAATAAATTCTAACTGTATCTTTTGTATTTTACTTCAGCCGCAACTTTGGCTATTGAAGCTGTAGTATTTTCTGTATTGATTATCCATGCAAAGTATGAAAATGTAGTTTCTTTTCAAAATTTTGAGGTTTGACTCGTTGCTTCTTAGGTCAGTAATTGGAACTTTTGAAGAGATTAATGTTGAGTATAAAGAATTGGCTTTTTATCATCTGATTGTGTAATGACATCACATAGTTTATATTTTTTTCTAGTTGCATTTTTGCTCGATCATCACCTCCGCCATGTGCTGCTAAAACTTTGATATTTGATTCACAGCTTTGTAAGCGAGCATATTGAAACTCTTGAAGAGATTGATGTCGAGTATAAAGAATTGGCTTTAGAATCCGGTATACAAATTGGGGCCGTGTTCCTGCATTAGGATGTGAAGCAATGTTCATTTCAGACTTGGCAGATGCTGTAATTGAGAGTCTTCCATATGTGGGAGCTATGGCAGTTTCAAATCTTGAAGCTAGACAGGTACTTTAAAGCTTTCCACTATATTCTTATAATTTAAGAGAAGTGCCTTTTCTAGAGCATAGAAATATGGCTTGGATTTATCGAATATATGAAGACTTAAATACGTTTTGTATGTATGAATGTTGCAAGTAAGCTTATTTGCATTAAAAAGTGCATGGTTGTGTCGTACACAACATGTTGGTGCCTTGATGTGTTTCATTTATTCACTTGAGTGATGGGACGTAAGGAACTTCAGACCGTAGTACAGCATTACTGTTTCCTAAAATCACATGGCACCTTTTGAAATCTTGATGGGATAAATTAGTTTAGTTCTGGTACGCCACTGGTGGTGTTTTTCTGCAGGTTAATGTTAAAAAATGAACTCCCAGGTAAGTGAACGATGAAAGGACTTGTAATGCCTCAAAGAAGAGTTTGAGGTCTATGAATAACTTCGGTTATTGTGGTGATACAAAAATGTCATCGTCTTGTTTCAATTGCATAATGCCACCATGGTTTGACATTGTTTTTTGTGCAGTCATTAGTTCCCCTGGGCAGTGTGGAGGAGTTATTGGCAACTTATGATTCACAACGAAGGGAGCTCCCACCACCTGTGACAGTTTGGGAATGGGGTTGGACGAAAAGTGCTGAAACTTGGAATGGCAGAGCAGCCATGCTGGCAGTGCTTGTGCTGTTGCTACTAGAGGTCTCAACCGGAGAGGGATTTCTGCATCAGTGGGGGATATTGCCCTTGTTCCGCTAAATCCGACACTCTAGTAATGAAGATAAGTGTAAATTTTGATATGATAAGCAGCAACTTATATACATTGTATTAGAGAATATGTTCATAGGTAAAATACGTGGGAATTGGGTGTCGAGATTCAATGCATTAATCACCCACTGATTCAGGGAATAGTTTTCAAACACAATAAGCTCTGCCTGCAAATTTATTTGTGGGTGAAAACTGAAAAGGGAATGTGTTTCATAATATATTTTTAAAATATCTCTATCTTTGGTTTTTCATTCTTTTGAGAGAAAGCATGTGGCCAATGCAATTTAGAACGCAATTCTCTCATGATTTTTAACTTTTGGAGTCTACTCTACAAAGGGAAAATATATGAATTAGTTATGTTTTTAATTGTATTGGATGAAGTTGGTAAATCATTAAGTCCATTAAAAAATTTAAATAAAATCTAAATAATAAAATATGATAGTTATAAACTCGATTGACTCATTTTTTCGCTTGACTCGATCAGATATCCACCCCTACTTATTATGTATGGCGTGAGCTTGAAACAAGGTACTTGGATAGTTTATTAAGGCAGTTCAATATATGGCACATTAATTAGCTTTTTTCTTTTAAAAAAAATATTGGAAAAGACACAAAATAACATAACCAAATACAATGTATAATTATTTTAATTCATAATTAATAAATACAATATTCAACTCTTTGTATCGGCAATATTGTTCTATTCCCATAACAGCTTTGGAACAATGGGAATCAAGGATTAAAGAAGACCCAGATAACTAACAATCATAGAGTCTAGTGGAATGAAGTAGTAAAGTTAAAAGTTTAAATCTTAATGTTAGGAATAAAGTAAACTAAGCTAAGAGAATCGTACCTATAATAAATCTTTGCAGTTCTCGATTTGAATTAACGATTAATAAATATAATTTAGTGACTGCTCTGAAAATCAAAATAAAACTGACAATCTGTCATGTTCTCAAAATTTCTGCTCGTACAAAATACCAAAATCAGATTTTCTGCCATGTTATTAGCTCCCTTTATATATTTATATATAATTCACATTCAAAAATAAGAAAAAAAGATTAAATCAACTAATCTATTCTTCTTTGAGTATCAAGGAGAAGCTTGATATCTTTACTTTCGACAAAACAAAGTCGGTTGATGTTCAACGTGAATTCCAACTTTGTAAGACAAGGTCATTGTGTTTCCTTGAAGGACCCGAAGCTGGAACAGGAAAATGGCTGGGCAAGAATCCAAAGAACTGGCTTGTGTACTGAGATTTCGGCTTGGTCTCGAAAACGTGGGGGCGGTGATTGTTAATATACGTGTCCACCCTCATAAATATTTATGGATAAGCCACTGGTGGTGGTGGCTCTTGAACCGTGGCCTTGTACATTGAAACATCATGCACCTGATCCGATCAGAGTAGCAAAAGCAGAAAGGGCAAAGAAGAGAGTAAAGGAATTCAATAGGTAGGGTTGCATGTCTTGGATAAAAATGTGGTGGGACAGAGAATGCAATCTGATGATGATGATGAAGATCAAGCACGATTCATCTGGCTGTTCCAACCAAAGGATCATGAACTATATCAAAATAAAGGGTACGATGTTGATGGATTTAATGAATTGTATGGCGAATTGTTGTTTCATTGTGTAGGGCACAGGCCTCCATTTTTACGTGTTTGAAAGGAAATTAACTTGTCAATGGCAGAAAGGTGAATAAGAGAATGCAAAGAACTAGGCTCAACTTGCAACTTTTTGAGACGCTCTTTACTTTGTTCTTCACAATCCGATTATGTAGAATTTGAAAAAGGTTTGAATTATATTATATTTAAAATAATCAAATCTAATACCTGAATAAGATTAATATGCATCATATCTAAACGCAGAAGTTTGTGTTGTATTCTATTATCTGCTCAATTACTCTGGCCGAGATGGTAGAGGCAAAAATCAAAGAATTTTCGTGTCAAAGAGACGTAAGTTTAAGGGAGCGTGTGTGGTAATCACAACTGTTGTATGGTGTGTAGGAACAAAGTTTTCTCTCAAACGGAAAGTGCCGAGAGGCTTCCGCCGCTGTTTCTGTACTCGGAGCTGTTAGAATGCCCATTGCTTCCTGTGGTTTTTCAAATGCCATGCATGCATGCTTCAGTTAAAATAATACCATCCGACGTCCCATACTCGATTCAAAAGAATGTGGCGCATGCAATGCAAACTACTATTATAGGATTTAATGGAAGTTTTCAAAAAACAGAACCAATGTTGAAACTGTGAAAAATCAAAAATACCCTCAGAGTTGTGTAAACAAAATAAAGAAACATTGAGCAGTAAGATGCTATGTTGTTTGGAGGGCCTAAGTTTAAGCATCACATAAAAGAAGCTACATATTAGCTCCCCTAGTAGGACGACACACATGGTTCCTTTTCCTAGCATGTTCTTCATTGTGGTGTTGTGTTCGACAAGCATGTCCATACCAGCAGTCCTCTCTCTGTGATGCATCAGGCGGTAGGCACTATAATCATATGTCGAATCAGCAGTGAAGAAGAAACCAGTTAAGAAAATAAAACCATCACCACAAAATCAATCATGTCAGATCTTATAATGCATAATTATCAACTTGGAAAATAAAAATGCTTACATAATTGGGCAACGATATCCGGTACCAATACAGAAGAAAGGAGACCAACTTTTCATAGCAAGTGCTGCATTCAAAATAGAAAACCGTACATCACCATTCTCACAGAAAAAAGATGATCAACCTTAAATATATATAAACATATTCATATTTATTTATATGACAAGAATCAAATATGAGCTTCTGCAGGAAACATAATGATTCTTTGGGTATCGTTGACAATGGAGGGAGTCGGATCCCTTAAAGATAAATATTTTGAACCACACCTAAATTGACTTAAACATTACCTGCAAACATGAGTTGCAGCAGTTATCCTCTCAGCGTGATTGAGTGGCATCCTTGTTCGGTCTGCAAACAAGCAAAATTATCTTCACAAACAAAACTAGAAAAGTTTTGGAAGATCAACCATGGTGCAAGTGAAACCTAAAAGTAACACAATTACAATACTACATAGAAGTTAAAAAAGTATTGAGGTCAATTATTGAGTGTTGTGCATGATTTGTAGTGCTGTCTCCATAATGTTTTTACATGCTGATGAAAACATTATGTATAAACTTTAATTTCGTTTAATACTTTACTGCTGGGACCAGATTTTTTTCTTAAATATACCAGCCTGTTTCAGTCAATTTGAACCAGAACTCTTTCCTTGGTAATTTGCAGCACTTATATCAACTGTGATATGAGAAACACCACTCCTACATTGTTCTCTTGGTTTTTCTTCAATGTGCAAACCATGATAGATGGTCCAAGTTCAGCAGTGAAAAAATCAAAAGTTATCAACAATTTCAAAGACCAGTGGCTTTTTCAGAAGAAAGTAGAGAGCCAAAGAGAGCCAAAATGCCAGGTGGTCTGAGGATAGCTTTAAGAGAGAAATACTACAGTATTATGTTTTGGGTGTGATAGTGGGTATGCATGAAACATGGATGCATTCAGTTATAGTAGCCAGTCAATAATCGGTATTAAGGAATCTAAAAGCATTCTGTTAATCGAACTCACCCTTTTTCAGAATGCTTTGCTTTCTCTTTTGTGTTAATTATATAAGGATTTTAAATGTTTCTAATATTCAAAGTTTATTCATATTGTTCTTAGTTGTATGCAAAATGCTGTATATAAGTATGCTATTCAAACATATACTATGGGATTAAAGATAAATCAACTGCACCGGTAAATTGAATTACACAACTGTTTCAAGAAAAACTAAAACAGCATGAAGATATAGATTATTTTGGTCCTATGTTCAGTTAAGCAAATTTTCTCTACTAAGCATCTAACAGAGGTAAAACGAATAAGACACAGAATAAGACACATTTTCAGGACAGATGAATTAAGATTAGATGCAAAATGATTTATTTTCTTTAATAGAAAAATAACAAGAAACTCTAAATATGACACTGAATCACTAAAGTACCAAGGGCAGTCCTCGGATCCCTCCTCAGAATGAAAAGCTGTGGACAAGGACTCTCTAGAAGACTGTAAAACTGACGTAAAGCAATCAAGCTGAGTCAAGAAAGTGGTTATTTAGCAGGTCATGGATGACAGATGTAAAATGGTATTCACCATAATGATAATCATAACCACAGCTTATATCTCACATCGGTGAAGGAAAATGCCAAACTCATCCCTTATTCTCTATAAAAGGTTGGAACAAATGAACAGAGATAAGAAAGGTTAAATTACTAAAAGATTATGATTAAGATGACGTACCAATAGAACCTTTGTTACTTGGACAGCACACGAGAATTAAGCACCCAATGTTGGAGCAAAAAGAATATGATAAAATATTAACATACCAATTTCCCTATTGTTTAGCTTTCTAATCCATTCTGCAACAACTTCCTGTAAGGTTCTGCCCGACTGTCTAATACACCTTTCCGTGATCTATGAAAAAAAGTGCACCAAATCAGAACTTTACTAGTAATGCAGTATAATAGAATAACAATATGTTAAGAGAAGACCATACATCTTGTTCATGTCTGTTCATTTCATGTGCCAAGAAAGGAATCCTAGTGATAATGTGTTCAGAAATCTGCACAACAGATTTATCAGTAAAAGTCGTAAATTTTGTAAGTCATAACATTGGAGCCCAAAATAGAATGTTGGCAACGTGAAATTGTACAGCAGTCTTGCAAACAGAGTTAAAGAGGAACTTTTCAGGCAATTTAAGTTTCAGCAATTATAGTGGGGCATAATAATACTCAAAAAACAGAATACCATTATACCACTCAAGATTACCATTTACTTGTATCAAATGAAAGCATAATAAGCAGGGTCCAAGAGAGGGGGATAACAGAAAATGAGGGAGCTATGATCAATATCATAGATCATTTTCCAAATGGGAAGGGGTATTGTTAAACCAAATTGCACATTCAGATTGACAAAAATGCCCATGTTGGAATATTTTATTTCAAAAGACTGCAAAATTTGAAAAGTGTAGGACAGAAAGTCAAAGTAAGCTTGCTTGTAGTGAAAGGCAAGTTTAATGAAATGTGCAACATCGGTCATCCATAAACAAACACCACAAGCTACGAGAACAATGAAAACAGACACATTGAGGACTTCGTCTACAAAAAATAGACATGAACATCAGATCAATATGTACCAGTCTAAATGTCTCATGATTGCACACAGGATAAAATTCACTTCTGGTAACCCTTTGAGTGTACCAATATGCACCACAAAATGTTCTATCACATCCTGAACCTGCAAAAGTGAATAAAAAATTCTTAAGAAATGAAAGAGGTTTGATCTGGAACGTCAAGGGACGATCCCAAGAGGTTCAGACTAGGAATTTAAAATTTAAAATTATACATACAACTGGATAGGGGCTATATTGAAAATTTAATAAATTGAGTGATGGAATGGCTTTTAAAGCAAGCACCCAGTCAATTACTACTGGGGTAGAATCAGGAAAGACGTTATAGAGAGAAAATACAAGGTGGACAAAATAAACTAGTGGGAAACAGAGGAAATTGGAAGACAAAAGGAAAAATGAGAGAAACCAGAGAGAATCATCAGAAAGAGACAAATTTTAACACTAGGTAACAAACATATTTTTTCTCCATCAATCTCGCAGACTAATACTTACAGTGTTGTGGTACATGCGTATCAGCCCTAGAAGGCATCATTCCACCACAATTTTGACATTGTAAATGGATTGTTTGCTGGTTGCATTGAAACCCACCAATTTCAGAGCCTGAAAGTTGCAGTTTTAAAAAAAGAAGCAAGAATTAGGCAAAAAGTACTTAAAAAGAGCTAATCTAGTGTTTGGTTGGGAGAATAGTAATTCCGCTCCCTAATGCTAATGCAGATGTTTGCTTCACAGAATGTTTATTCAATGTAATAGCCATTACAACCTCATTACTGAGGCTGTTATAGTAATAGCCATTACAACCTCATTACTGAGGCTGTTATAGTATTCTTGGCTTTGTCATTCATGCTCTACACCATTTAATATGAAAAGCCTGAAAATAAGCCTCCCATTTTCCCTTCTAAAATGAAAGTAGATAGTGGAGAAAAGAGAAATGAAAGAAAAAAAGGTTAAATGGAGGGAATGGAAGAACACAATGATGCCAGATTATGCAGGTAGAGCTGGCAACAGCAGTAGCTCATACAAGAGAGATGAAGTACCAAGAAACCAAAAAGAAAAAAAAATCCTCAAATGACGCAATAAATAAGTAATGCAAAAACAAAAAGATTTTCTCTCTAAAGGTTTTGGGTTAAGAGAATGTTTTGAGTCTTAGGGCTTCAAATTTGGGGATGAATAGGACTGTCAAGAGATGAGCATGTCAAAATTTGGCAAAGGATGACAAAAAGAGGGTTATTTGCGCAGTTTTTTTCTAGGCAATGGATGGCAAAAAATAAAGTAAAGCTACTTATAATATGAATAAGAAATCATATCAAACAATGTATGATTATATTAAACAGTATATGTATTCAAATTATTTTTCCAAATAGTTTTAAACATAATACTTAAATATAAATCATTAAATGATTTCATATATTACTTTTAAAAAAATATTTTTTTATAAGAATTGGAGGCCTCGTTAAAAACCCCCTTCATAATTGTTAGAGAGCCAAGAGAGCATACTAACAAAAAGCGGACGGGGAAAAGAGAACCTCGGACTATATTGCATTAATAGGGAGAAAACATCCCAAGATAACATCCAGGTTAAAGACACAACAAAACAAACCCAAAACAGAAAAAAAGCTTGTCACCTAACTACCCTAGCAATTAACCTATCCCTTCTTTTGCTAGTTCATCTGCTTTATAATTAGCACTCCTAGGAATGAAATGAATCAGCCGACCATATAGACCCCACTCTTCCAAAGTGAATAGAAGGAGCCCCGTTCTAATTGTTTTTAACTCAGCTAAGATAGGAGGGCCAGCATCAGCAGGCTCCGAAAAAGAACATAAAATAATGCTGCGGGAGTCTCTAATTAAGCCTCCAATACCACTCTTTCTCCAATCCATAGAAACTGCACCATCCACATTTAGCTTTAGAAAACCCTCGGGGGGGGGGGGGGGAGAGACCACGACAAAGGCTGAGCAATTTTCTTCCTAGTCACTTTACACGAAACAGCTAGAGAAGGGTCCCCAATGAGAAGGTCCATAGAAATCGGAGAACCTGGATAATTGGCCAAAAACCAGGCTGCTAACCGGTATCTAGCCACAAAAAATAAAAGGACTGAATCTGCCGAACAATTATCGAAGACTATGGAATTCCTAAATTTCCAAACTGACCAGATTATAACTCCAGGAATCAAACTCCAAATGGTCGAATGAGTAATGATACCATCCCAGGCTGCAAAAAGAGCTTTTAAATCAAGATGAAACCGTCCAGAGTTGAAGAAACTGATTCCATAAACCCCATGAGACTTTGCAAGCAAGAAAAAGATGGGAAACCGATTCGGGATGTAGCCTGCATAAAGGGCATAAAGAATCAACCACCCCCGGGACTCCTCTCTTCAATAACTCAGATTTAACCACAACTTTTTGATGAATCACTTTCCATAAGAAAGTCTCTACCCATGGTGGCGAGAGTCCCCTCCAAACAAAATTATTCCATACAGGATCCTCTACCTCGGATTGAGACAACAGTTTCCTGCACGACTTAACTGAATAAATCCCTTCCCCGTTCCCCTTCCATAATAACCCATCATTAGCTTCTGTATTGAGAACAAAATTATTTAACAAGGACATGAGAGCAGTCCAATGATCCAGCTCCCAATCGCAGAGGTTCCTTCTCACTTGGACATCCCATGACCATCCCAAGGGGCCAAAATTGCCGAACTCAGCAACTTTCCCGTATTTATTGGAGGATAATGCAAACAGTCTTGGGAATTTTCTTTTTAGAGGGGCTTCGCATAACCAAGAATCATGCCAAAAGAAACGTTCTCACCATTCCCCGCGCGGATTTGAATATGATTATTGAAACAGATCCCGAACTTACCATTCTTGTCGCAATTCTTAACACCACCTTTCCACATCAAAGAAGCTTGCGGAAAATTGGAGTTGTTGATTGTCTAAGCACCTGGATCCAGATTGTATCTGCTGCAAATCAATTTCTTCCACCAAGACCCCTTCTCGACACCAAACTTCCACATTCATTTTCCAAGCAAAGCTTGGTTTAATAAATTCAGATTTGATACACCCAAACCACCACTTCCTTTATTTGTGCAAAGTTTATGCCAATTAAGCCAGTGAAAGTGATTCCTTTCCAGTCCACCCCGCCATAATGGAGTCCAATTACCTAGACACAGATGACGGCAACTTGAAAATTGATAAATAATAGATAGGTAAAGCTGTTAAGACAGATTGCAGGAGCACCAATCTTCCAGCAAGTGATAGTGAGGCAGCCTTCCAACCAGCAAGTTTTTCATAAAAGTTTTGGTTAACCGGATTCCACATTGCTACAGAATTTCTCTTTGACCCGAGAGGAAGACCAAGGTATTCTGAAGGAAAGCAACCAACAGATACATTAATGGAGGAGGCACAATCATTTAGAACGTCCTCGTCAATGTTGATTCCAAACAGCCGACTCTTAGAACAATTCAATTGGAGACCCTTCATCACCTCAAAAATCTGTAGAACTCTTCTGACATTCTTTATTTGGCCAATCGAAGCATTGCAGAAGATGATCAGATCATCTGCGAACTGAAGATGAGATAGCATAAAAGAATTTTCTTGTTTACCGATTTTAAATCCACTAAACAGCCCAAAATCTACCGCTTTAACCAACATCAAGTTCAGCACCTCTCCAACCAAGTTAAACAACAGCAGAGATAAGGAGCATCCTTGCCTAAGGCCTCTAGCCATCGGAAAATCCTCGATAGGTGCTCCGTTAACAAGGACAGAAATTGAGGACGAGGAAATACACCTATCAATCCACGAACACCAGCACTCACCAAATCCCATCTCTTTCATGGTTCAAATTAGAATCGGCCACTCAATGGAGTCGTAGGCCCTCTTGAAGTCTAATTTGAAAACCACACCTTGCAAACCTTTCTTCCTCCAATAGTAATTCCTTCATTTGCTAGAAAGGAACAATCGATAATTTGTCTCCCCGGAATGAAGGCAAATTGAGCGGGACCAATAATGGAATGAATACATGTCCGCACTCTTCCAGAAAAGGACCTTTGATAAGATCTTATATAGACCACCTACCAAGCTGATCGGCCTGAATTCCTCCACACTTTCTAGGTTAGATTTCTTCGGGATCAAGGTAATAAAGGCGTGGTTAATCCCGTTTTCCCATTTCTTCCCTGCGAAAAAATCATTGAAAATTTTCAGGATAAATTCTTTAAGATCAGGCCAGAATTTCTTAAAAAATCCCATGTTCAATCCATCCGGGCCGGGTTCTTTGTTGCTATCCGAAGAAGCTATCGCTTCCCAAATTTTCCCCTACGAAAACTGATTTTCTAGTAATGCAGAATACACCTCGGACAGCCTTCAGAAATTCAGATTTAAGTCTTCGACCTCCAAGGTGGACATCGTATTGTAGGCTGCCTTGAAAAAAGTTACAAATATTACTCTTGATAAGATTAGGATCTGAAGTGAACCGCCCATCTACATTCAGCATTTTGATGGAATTAACTCTTCTTCTATTCGACGCACAAATGTGAAAATATCTCGAGTTTTGATCGCCTTCTTTAACCCATTTAGCCCGGGAGTTTTGGTGCCAAATGCTTTCTTCAATTCGGTATAGAGCCCCTAATTCCTTCCTGTACTTGATCAAAGATGAGGCCCAAGTTGGAAGGTCGATTCCAATGACTGGATCTTCTTTTCCAGTTCTCTAATAGAACCGGCCACTTCAGAAAGTCTGCTGCCTGGCCATTTTTTTTTTCTGTTTTCGCACCTTTGAGGATGCTCAGAATTCCTCTATGGCTATTCTCCTTTCCCAGTCTTCAATCTTTGACCTCACCATCTTAACAAACCCATCATCCTCCAATAAATAACTGTACAATCTGAACGGTTTCGGGCCCCAATTAATGCTTTCATCTGCAATCTCGACAGCATTATGGTCTGAAAGAGACTTTGGCAGAAGATTTTGGGAGATATTTGGAAAAGAAATCATGAAGTTATTATCCACCAAAAAATGGTTGAGCCGATCGAAGTCGGATTTTCTCTGTTATTACACCAAGCTGCCCCCATTTAGTGGAAGATCAACAAGGCTTGATTGATGGTTGAAAGTTCTAAGAGTTTCCATGCTTTACCAGTTTTGGGAAACACCGATTTTCTCCTCTGTGTTCAAGTAAGTATTGAAATCCCCACCATTGCAAAGCGGGATTCTCAACTGCTCAACAAAAGAGAGAAGTTCATCAAAGAATATCAGCTTCTTGGCTTCCACAACAGGACCGTAAATATTAATAAAATCACATCTGAATTGGTTTTCCTTCACCTTCCCCAGAACAGCAATGAACCAACTGTGAATAACTTTATCGGAGACTTCGAAGAAATTCTCATCCCACAAAGTAATTCAGCTGGTGAGAAACATGACCCATGCAGCCTTTTCCCCTTTAAATTTCTCAATAAAGCAGGTTTCAGATCAGAAATTTTGGTTTCTTGAAGAAGTAGCATTGACGGATTCCTCTCGTTCACCAGCCTCTCGTTCAGATCAGAAATGATCATCCAGCTCAGTTGGTAGAGCACAAGGTTCTTAACCTTGAGGTCATGGGATCGAGTCCCACGGAGGG